TTGCAGGGATGTTACAGAATTAATTAAACATTAGGACAGTCGAAATTTCCTACTGCAAAAAGCGACATTTGTCTAATACCCTTCCCATGTCTTTATGACTTGAGAATAAAATGCTGGCTCACTTAGATTGGTTTAGAGACCCTGGGACTTTTTTGCAGAGAAAATAATGGACCAAAGAACATCTGGGAGCTACTAAGAGTAGTAATGTGACAGACAGTGCCGAGAGAGCATTCAGATTCTCTCCTTCTTCAGGCCATTGTGGGTTTGCTCCTGCTTTTCATGTCTTCTCTGTCTTTGGCCATTGTGGAAATTTTCTTATCCTGGATTTCCAGCTTTTCAGCTGAAAGCCGTCTACTCCCTAGGAAGAGCCCCTCTTCCTCTTTTATATGGATTATGTAATGTGCACGCCTTCTTTGTCTTGATTTTTTTGCTAACTCCTTGAGGACTGGAGTCAGGTTTTAATTATTTTAGTACTTTAGTATACAGTAAGTGCTGAACAAAAACTGGTATGACTATTGGGGAAAGATGCTTAAAAATTCGTGCTTGTAAACTGGCCCTTGAATGGAAAGCTGCTGATCGACTCCAGATAATTTGTCTACATACGATTTCTGTATTCGTTTGGCTGGAATCCTGGTGACTGACACTCACCACCTAATTTTGGTGGGCCTTGTTTTCTTGGCTAGGAACTGAAAAACCCTTGAAACTCTCGGGTGCCTTTTAAAAAAGGAGAAAACAAAGGTTGTTCTGGATCACTTCCCTAGCTGAGAAATCATCAGCTGGGGATTGCAGCAGGGCTGGGATGGAGCCCGCCCCCTGCCCCTCAGACCCCGCTCGCTCTCCCGTCGGAGCCTGCTGGCTCAGGGCTGGGGGGTCTGTGTGGATCTTCCTTCCCGGAACATGCGCTCCTGCGTTGGCTCACAGGCGCTGCCTCCTTGGGGCTCGCTCACACCCAGCTTGAAAGTCTTGGATGCCATTCTCTGGCCTCCTAATGCCCGGTAGAGGGTCTCCTCCTGTCCCCTCCCTCCAACTGTCATTCTCTCTGTTCCTTTTTGTTTTTGTTTTTGTTTTTTTTTTATGGAATCATATAATGTGGTGAATTAGCCACTCCTGAGTTTAGGCAACATCTGGGGGGTTTCAGCCGAGGTACGGCCTTCCCAGCAGTGTTAGCGTCATGGTATTGATGTGTGAAGCAAGCGCAGCCTGGGAGGCCACTTGGCTGATGGCTTATGAGTTCTCTTCCTCTGAGATGAGAAGCACTTCCGGAGCCAGAAGTGTGCTTCTCACTACACGGATTCTGGAGACTGTGCAGAAAGTAGCTGCTAAGAATGGGTGTGCGTGTGCGTGTGTGTAGATATATCTTTGGGGACTCCATTCATTTGAATGGGATGAGATTGCACCGAATCTGTTGGTGTTAACCGTGCGTTTGTCGCAGCTGTGGTTCTGCCATCTGAAGAGGACTGTGCACGGTGGCAATACCAAAGGCACTCGTTCTTTTTCTTGCTCTTTTTTTTTTTTTGGTTTTTCTTTGCCCTTTGTTTTTCTTGCCCATCCTTGCCCTTTGCTGTTGCAGCAGTGAAAGGGATGGTTCACTTTAGTTGTAGGGGTCACATATGCTTGGTACTAGCATGCTGCAGAGTGGCGCCAAGAATCGCATTTGGCATGTGGAATGGAACTCGGGCCTTCCATCCTGGGAGCCAGGCACTGCCCCACTGGCCGCATCTCCAGGCCCGTAGACATCTCAGACAAACACACAAGTAAAAATCTCAGTTCTTGGCACCAAGGAGAGCTTAGAGCACAGCACTGCACAGGAAGCCTGGGTTTGATCCCCAAGCACTTCCCGTTAGACCCCCGAGCACTGAGTTAGGAGTCCTGAGCACTGCTTTGTATCCGCCTCTTCCTTCCAGACCAAGCCAACCAGTCTCAGTCCTTGAACTAAAGTGATTCTACTTAGAGAGAAATGTTCAGATGAACGTTACAGAAGTTTAGAGGGTTATTTATTTTTTTCCCGGGGTAGGGGCAGTGGGGAGGTGTTGTGGTCACACCCGCCAGTTCTCAGGGCTTATTTCTTGCTCTGCACTCAAGAGTCACTCCTGGCCGTGCTCAGAGAACCTTATGGGATGCCAGGGATCAAACTCGGGTAGGTCACGTGCAAGGCAAGCACCCTACCCACTATACTATCATTCTGGCCCCTAGAAGTTTAGAGTTTTGGGATAGACTTGAAGGATTTGATTTGGGTTTCGGAAAATCGATTTGAAATACTTTTATGCTTGCATGTAGGCATGGGGGCCCATGGCAGTGGGTCTTTGTATACATCGGGCAATTTCATAAATGATTGTTAATTGGCAATAATTGGAAGAAGGGTTAGGTGTAGAACAGTTTGTGGTGTTTAAACTACATGAGCTTATTAGCAATGGGGAGAAAACCTAGAATGAGCAGGATGCTGGGGCGGGTGGGATGACCGAGAAGCAGAAATGCTGTTACAGGTGTGCCTTGAGTTTGAACCAACTGTGTGCAAGTCATGAGATGCCAGGCACAGCTCACAGGGTCTCGGTGCCTCGAGGCCTCATCTATAGAGTAAGGATCATGATATTATCTTTCAGGATGTTTATATGGAACAGCTAATCATTGGAGCACATTTAGAGTGGACTTTAGTACGTAGGCAGCCCAGAGAATGACATCTGCTATTAACATTGGCCATGCTTCCAGCTTAGTAATTGCTTCTCATTTCTTTTTTTTTTTTTAATTTATTTATTGAATCACTGTGGGAAAGGTTACAAAGCTTTCAGGTTTATGTCTCAGTCATGCAAATATCAAACACATTTCCCTTTACCAATACTTATTTTTTACCCTGAAGAACCCCAATAAAACCCCACCCCCCACCCCTCCTAGTCCCTGTGGGGCAGATGCATTCTAGTTAACACTCTATCTGCTTTGATTAGATTCATTGTTTCAATAAGATTCACCACTATTATTTAGAGTTTACCCCCCACCCCCCAAATCAGACATGCTGAAAAAGCATTGTGAAGTGATTTGCTTTCTACAGCTGGGTTCAAGAATTAAATGTTGGTTTTGGATTTCTGCTATTTTACCTATTGACCCTGGAAGTATTTCTACTGAAAGTTAGATAGTTAAGAAATTGGTTTCTGTGTTCTGGAGTCGTGGCCGTGCTGGAGAGCCGCTCGCGGGGGGCAACCGGTGGCCTCGGTAGGGCATGAAGGGCGGAGCGAAACGCCCCTCTTCCCATGAGGTTTTAGTCACCCCCACACTCCCGGCTCATACCTGCTGTCCACAAGGCTCCCATGTGGCCGCCATCTTTCTTTCCAGAGAGGAGAGGGCGAATGGGGCAACACCCTTTCCCCTCCGGCAGACTTGATGGGCTGGATCAACGCATAGTCCGTTCACCTTTCTGCTCCAAGCTGCTGGGTTCTGCATCAAGTCCCCGTGCCTCTGGGGCCATGGCCGTGCCGGAGAGCCGCTTGCGGGGGGCGACTGGTGACCTCGGTAGGGCGCGAAGGACGGACCGGAACGCCCCCCGACCCATGAGGTCTTAGTCGCCCCCACTCCCCCGGCCCATACCCGCCGTCCACAAGGCTCCCATGCGGCCGCCATCCTTCCCCCCAGGCTTCTCATTTCTTATAATGCTATATTGTGATTCTCTTGTGCTCTTACACAAAACTGTGTCCGTTAGTGAGAAATTCTGCTGTTCTCAGAAAAATTTCTGCCTGTAAATGAAGAAAAAATTGTGTTCATCATTCTCACTTGTTACACGTGTTCTCATAAAAATAAGAAATATTTGAAATTGAAGAGTCCGGTGGTCTGTTGTCCTTTATACGTGAGCTGTGTCAGGGGATGGGAACCTTTTTTTCTGCAAAAGGCCACCTGAATATTTATAACAACATTTGCGGGCCTTTTCATATGACCAGTGGGCTGAGGGCAGCCAGTAGGAGCACTGACCTCTGTCCCTTCATGGTCCATGGCAGGGCTCCACAGTTGCACTGGCTGGACATTCCCGATCCCTGGAACATACATTCCCAAGCTCTCATTTCGCCGTAGTCGTCTTTGGGTTAGGTTGACTTGTTATGTTTCTATTTTCTAGATTGATACTGTGGGGCACTAATCATCTTTGAATGGTTCATTAGCTATGATGATAGCTTTTGTTCTCTTTAATAATACATTCTGTCAAAAGACTTGATCAGCTCATGGTTAATTGTGTTATGCATTTTTCACTGATGCCCGTGTAAAATTCTTGTGAGTTGTTCGAAAAATTTTTAAAACTTCTCATCATCTAATTGTTGGATTAAGATTTCTCTCATATTTGGGGCTGGAGATACAGAATAGTTGGGGTCGGTGCTTACCTGGCATGCTGCCAACCCGATGTTAGTACCCAGCATCCCATGTGGGTTTTGCCCAAGCACTGCCAGAAGTAAATCCTGAATGCAGAGTCAGGAGGTACCCTTGAACATTGCTGGGTGTGACCCTAAAACAAGTCAACAAAAAAACCCCAACTAGGGGCCAGAGCGATAGCATAGCTGATAGGGCATTTGCCTTGCACGCGGCTGACCTGGGTTCGATCCCCGGCATCCCATATGGTCCCCCAAGCACCATCAGGAGTGATTCCTGAGTGCAGAGCCAGGAATGACCCCTGAACATCTCTGGGTGTGACCCAAAAAGCAAACACACACACACACACACACACACACACACACACACACACACACACACCAACTGTTCTGTAAACAAACAGAAAAAAAAAACTCTTTTCCATATTTAACACTTTGAGATGGGGGGGAAAATGTTTTTCTCCCATCCCCTTTTAAGATTTCCTTAGTTACATGACTGATGAATTCCTCAGCTACATGAAGTTCTGACTGGAGAAGTAAGTCCTAACTATATACTCCTTCCAGCTTTGCGCAAGGGAATGAAAACCAAAATATGTGGATGTTTTGAAAACCCAATTTTTTAGACCAGAGTGTCATAATTTTTCTTTTTTTGATTTGTAGTGGTTGGAATTGGAAGGGGAACAAAAATGTTGACCAGTATGTTGTCAGGGTCCAAGGTAAGACTCTTGGATTAGTTTTGTTTTCCTCTTTTCTTGTGTATTTCTTAATGACCTGTGTTCAGTTGTATCATTTAAAATATAAACTGTTTATTGCACGAATGGCAATCATTTCTGAGTATTTACGGTGTTCATAATCATAATCTGACATTCAGAGTACTGAGATTATAAATTAGAGATTCTTAATTGCAAATAACTTACAGAAGCAAAATCTCTACAGTGTCCACGATTGTACTTTTATTTCTTGGTTTTGGGGCCACACCCAGCAGTGCTCATGACCTACTCCTGGCTCTGTGCTCAGGGATGACTTGTGGAGGTGCTCAAGGGACCATATGAAATATAGATCAAACCCAGATTAGCTGCTTGCAAGAAGTTGCCTTATCCACTGTACTATCTTATTTTTGTTTGCTTTTTGTTTATTTGGTTTTTGGCTCACATCCAGCAGTGCTCAGAGATTTGTCCTAGCTATAGACTCAGGGAGCACTTCTTCAGGTGGGCTCCATCAACCATATTGGGGTACCAGGGATCCGTGCCCTGATTTTTTAAAATTAAAGTTTTTTTCTTTTCTTTTTTTTTCTTTTTTAAAATAAAATCCTTTCTTAGATGCAAGGGGACTTAGAACTTAGATTGCGGATCTAGTGACAAATAGCTTAATAATCCTCAGACAAAGACTTTGACAACCCCGGGGTGAGATGGAACAATTTTCAGAAATTTCATTTTACACAAGCATTTTTATAATTCCTTTAGCTATTTGGTTATAACAAGCAATTGAAACCAAATTATTATGTGCCTGCTAACAGGGCTGGCTGTCGGGTGGTTGGGGAAATGGGAACAGTGGCAGAGGGAAGGTTTGGGAATCATTCAGGTGCGGCGATTGGTGTTGGAACATCCGAAACCCTTTCAGGCTACTACCGTGGTACCACGAACAACTTTGTAAACCCCGGTATGTAAATAAAGTGAAAAGGAAAACCGAACATTTCCATAGCACCATTTGTAAACCTTTCATTTTTCCGGAAGACAGGCTTTGCTCAACAACTGCAAAACGTTTGCTGCAGCAAAGGGTGGGGTTTCTTGGAGTCTCGTCCTTCTCCTTCGTTTGTGAGAGTCACCCTGTCTCGGTTTAAGAGCACTTTCCGAGACATTTACTAGCCGGGAGGGAGGAGCGGGTGGGCCAGGGCCAGGGCTGGAGTGGGTGGAAACGTGTGGGGAGGAGAGTGAGACTGCTGTGAAGATGTCGAAGTTGACCTCTCTGGACCCTCAGGGTTTTCCCTAGAAAAATAATTGGGGCCCCTCTCGGATCTCATTGAACTCTGAGCGAGATCATAGCATTTGTATTCTAATCAGCAGCGGTGCAGGACCGGGGTTTAAAGGCCCTTGGAGGGCAGATTAATATGCTCATAGATAGTCCTCCCTGACTTTCAGCTCCTTCCTGGACTAAAAGTTTTCTTTTTTACTCGTCCTTCACGCCCTACCGAGGTCACGGGTTGCCACCCACCAGCAGCTCTCCGGCAGGGCCATGGCTCCAGAAGCACAAGGACTTAATGCAGAGCCCGGCAGCTTGCGGCAGAAAAGTGAATGGACTATGCGTTAATCCACGGCACCTTGCCTCCAGAGCCACAGAGCCAATCTCATAATTATCTGGCTCTCGGCAGAAATATTTCCAGGCTTAATAAGTAAAATATCGGAAATCCAAAATCGCGCTATCGCAGCCGTGCGACATCATTTGGTTCTTGTAACCAGCTGTAGAAAACAAATTATTTCACAACGCATTTTCAACAGGTCTGATTTTGGGGTGTAAGCTCTAAACAATAATGGTGCATCTTTTGTCGAAACAGTGAATCTAATCAAAGTAGATAGAGTGCTAATTAGAATTCATCAGCCTCACAGGCATTGGGAGGGGTGGGAGGAGGGTATATTGGGGTTCTTGGTGAAAAATATGTACTGGTGAAGGGAGATGTGTTTGATCATTACATGACTGAGACTTAAACCTGAAAGCTTTGTAACTTTTCCCATAGTGATTCAATAAATAAATAAAAGTTTTCTGTTTTAAACCCTTGCTCTTAATGGGATGTCAATGGCTGATAAAGTGATTTTTTCCCCCTAAATTGTTTCTTTCTTTTTTTTGGGGGGGCACACCCAGCAATGCACAGGGGTAACTCCTGGTTCTACACTCAGGAATTACTCCTGGTGGTGCTCAGGGGACCATATAGGATGCTGGGAATAGAACCCGGGTCGGCCACATGCAAGGCAAACTCCCTACACACTGTGCTATCGCTCCAGCCCCCTAAATTGTTTCTTTTTGAAAACTGTGGACCAAGACCCAAAAACATGTTCATTGCAAACTGAGAACTTTCATAAAATACCATTTCAGTGGTATTTTTCAGTGGAACGTTGCATTGCTAAATGAATTTCTAAACGCCCGTATTTCCTGAGCTTCTCTCCTCAGGGATGCTGGCCCTAGAACCACCGTTTTGAGTGGCAGTGGTCTAAGTAAGCCTTTTTGAAAAATTAAAAACCCCGGAGAACGTGTTCCCTCTGATGTCCCATTTTAGTAATCACTTGGCATAAAACTCCTTGTCTTTGAGTTGGAAAGGATGGTAATGTTTTAGGTAAATGAAAAGTAAATTCCATCTGGCTTGCTCTGCAATTTCAAAAAAAGGGAAAGGTATTAAAAAATAGCAGTCTTAAGCATCAGTACCGGGACAGGGGAGGGGGTGGGAAAAGGCAGTAGTCGCTTGAGGTGCAGCGGGGGGGAGGGCATTTTAATTTATTTTAATTTCTGTTTTTTTTTTTCATTTTGAAGAGGGTAGTTTGGCCTGGGGGGGGGGGGGGTGGGAATAATGGCAGGAGCAACTACTGCCCCTCCCACCCCCCTGTACCAGCACCCCCAACCCCCTTAGTTCTCCCACCCGGGGAAACGCTGACCCAGTCCCAGAGAGAGACATGAGTGCGACCAAACACTCTGTCCTGCTGCACGAGAAACGTCCTCAGAATCCTTTCAACTTGATGCACTTTATACTACCACTGGGAATGGGTGGCGACCCCACAACTTTAAAGCCCAGAATGTTTTTCTCACCTTGATGAGCTATTTTGTTTTCGTCCCAGGAAGGTGACGTGCTCTTCAGACCACCCCCACCTTTCCCCTGCATTCCTTCTCTCGGATGGAGTAAGATGAAAGCCACGGCCCGTCTCTGTGTTTCTTCATCAGTATTCGAGGGAACTGTGTTTTGTCAGTGATCATTTTTTTTTTTTCTCTCGAGACATTTTTCTTCTTGAAAATAGATGCTGTGAGGACTGGAGCAGTAGAATAGTGGGTGAGTCACTTGCCTTGCACTAGGCTGACTCAGGTTTGATCCCCCAGCATCCCACGTGGTTCCTCGAGCACTGCCACGAGTGATCGGCGCGCACAGAGCCAGGAATAAGGCCTGACCATAGCGGGGTGGCCCAAAAATTTAAAACAAAAGAAAAGAAAATAGATGCTTTAGTCTATAGACCAAACTTGATTGCCACTCAATGCCTCTCTTGCAAAACACAGTACCCAAAAGAAGAGAGAGAGAACAAGGGGGAATACCCTGCCACAGAGGCAGGATGGGACGGGGGGGATGGGGGGGGGGATGCTGGGACCTGTGGTGATGGATGATGGGCACTGGTGGAGGGATGGGCACTTGATCATTGTATAACTGAAACCCAAGCACAAAATTTGTAAGTCTATAACTGTACCTCATGGTGTTTCACTAATAAAAAAAGAAAAAAAAAGATAGATGCTTTGATTGAAAATGCTTTGCCTACAGCCAGACTCCACAGTCTCAGGCCTGAGCTCCACAGGGAACCAAATCTGCCGGAAATTTCAGGTACATGGGGTTTTTTTGGCTGAAAAATCCAGGCCTTTTCAAAGTTGGGATGGGTGACACCAACCCTCTCCCTGTATTTCTGGAAGCCCTGGTAGCCCCGCCCACACCTCCAAGCTGCTGCCAAGCCTCTAGCTGGACTGGCTAGTTAAATATCGGGATATTCTGGACATCTCCAAAATCGGACAAACATCGACATGTTTATGGCACAGTAGTAGCACACCAGATTGGATGGGGTGTAATGTAGAAACCAACCAATCTCCACGAACACAAAAGGCTTAACTTGCAAGAACAGCTCAGATAAGGATTTAATGTAAACCCTTAGACAAGGATTCAGTGTCCCACCATGGTGAGATACAACAGTTTCTACAGAAATATTTTTTAATCATTTCATTAGCCATTCAGTGGCGATATAAAATAAGTTATCGTGGGCCTGCTCCGGGGGCAGGCTTGAGTGGTAACTGGGAAGATGGAGACGGTGGTGGGCAGAAGGTGACAGTGCTGGTGGGATTCGGGTTGGAATATTGAATGCCTGTGAGAAATCACCATGAATAACTTTGTAAACCATGGTGTTTAAATAAAGTGGGGGGAAAAAGTGACAAAAATTAAAAATTGGGACCAGAGCCATAGTACAGTGGGAGGGTGCTTGCTTGCTTATGGCTGACCTGGATTCCATCTCTGGCACCCTGTATGGTCCCCTTAGCCTTGTCAGGAGTGATCCCTGAGTTCCAAGCCAGGATTCAGCCCTAAGCACTGCCCAGTGTGGCCCAAAAACAAACAAGAAAAGAAAAGAAAACAGGATAAGGGACAGAGAGATACTCCAGGGTTTAGACACTTGCCTTGAACCCAGGTTCAATCCCCAGTATTACATGTGGTTCCCGAGCACTCTCAGGGGGCATACCTAAGTCTACAACCATCAGTGACTCCTGGGTGATAACAGGTGTGGCCCAAACCCCCCAATCAATCAATAAGTCAATTGCTTAATAAAAGGTAAAGGTAAAGGCCCTCCTGTTGATCGTCGATTTGCTCGAGCGGGCCCAGTAACGTCTCCATTTGAGACTTTGTTGTTACTGTGTCTGGCATATCCAATACTCTCGGTAGCTTGCCGGGCTCTCCGAGAGGGGCGGAGGAATCGAACTCGGGTCGGCCATG